AGGCACACGAAGGGAAGTACATTAGGATTATTGAGAGCATGAGGGAGATTCGTTGTCAGCTTCATCGATTCGTGGTCACTACAACGTGAGTGCATGCTGTTGGGATACCTTGCTCCTTCGGAGATCATTACCTTTGAAGTAAGAGCAGCGGGACCCAGCCATGACTGTGACATGGGTGTGTGGCAATAGCTTGAAAATTTCTTCCAGCTGCGAGTCAATGATGTGTTTTGGCAGACTCTTCGGATGGTTTACCACTCCGGAAGAGAAGGCAGCTTAGGACGGGCACGAAGCTTTCTAAGCTTAAATGAATTCCATTTGTGGCCACGTGTAGAGGAAGAACCGCTGCGGCTCGCTTCCAAGCTGTTCCCTAGGAATGCGTCTGGTGTGCAGGAGATCTCCTGGACAAGTGCGATATTCCATGGAGAACCGGTTAAACTCTTAAGTCAAATAGTGTAGACTAGATCGCGAAGCATTGATATAGATTTTAACCGAGCTTTCGTACCTTCCGTAGCAAATCATGATCAGAGTTCGTAAAGGGGTAAGCGGCTGGGAGGCCATATTCAACGATCGGACGAACATGCGACGCGAACAGCCTTCTAAATTTCACCGTAACTCTACCGGATGACGTTCGCAAAACACTGAGTACCTGGTTGCTTGCCGCGACCCACTTCTGCGAAGCAAGTATGGCTTGCGATCCGCGACATGGCTACTCCCACGTCCTTCTCATGTGGGACAGACTTAAGGAGATATCCCCAAATATTACACGCACTGAAAGAGTCTCGTTCACCAATCGGGAGAACGACACATTTGTTACGCTTTAGCAGCCTTCGCCACTCGAAGGACCGGTTTAGCAGCTAGTCAAAGGAAGCTTAGAGCCTGTCGGCATCCTCGGGGCAAGATGTATCAGCCCACATCTTTTAGTCATAAGTGTAGACTGGACAGTGGGTTTGTAGTGCCGCTGGAAGGTCATTAATGCAGAGGGTAAACAGCTCTGATCAAAGGACGGAGCATTGCGGTACACAAGTGGCCTTAAGCACTGGGAGAGTGATTTGGTCACCTTCGCTTCAATGTTTAGTGCTTCCAGGAAGACTGGGTACACCAACTCCCGGCAGTTTGAGCAGGATCAGTTCATGTTGCACTTTATCGGATGCGTTGCAGAAGTCAATGGAGACGACAGCAGGTATCTCCCTCTCGTTTGTCGCTGTACCCCATGCTTCTCGAGCAGCAAGCAGGTTTGTTAGGCATGTTCGTGCCCTGCCGAATCCGTGCGATGATGAGTAGATTGCGCATATTACTTCACAGTCACCTTTGCGAGCGCGCTTGATTATTCCGTATATAAATTTGCAGAAAACAGTCGTCCTATATATCGGGGGTTTGTGCGCAGGGTTCTGCCGGGCTACTACTTTTATTTAGGAATTACCATTCCTACTTTCCAAACGCTGGCTAAGCCGCTGTCTGTGAGTGAGAGCCAATGTACTTGGGACCTTGCGTGGGCGACGTACTCGGCCCCACGTGTGGAGGAATGTGGCAAGTAGTCCGTCTGGGCCGGGTGCGGAGTTAGGGTTCAACTCACGGATTAGCCGCGTGACGATCGCCAGTTCAATTTCCACTTGCTCCAGGGTTGGAGCGCACGTAAGCGCCTCTTTATTGGCTAACCGCGGTTCAACCGTATAGACAGCTGAGTAATTCAAGGCCTTTAATTTGGCTTACTCATCATCGTGTTAGGGTACACTGCTTTCTCCAAAGACAGATAGGGAATGAATACCAACGCTCGCTTTGGTATCCGTCGCCCTGTCTATGAAAAGCATTTCGTGCGTGTCCGGGGTTGACTTGTTATGTAGTAATGGTATTCAATTCGCTTCTTCCGCTTTTTCAGGGTGCATAAGTTTCGTTCACCTTAGTACTTTGGTGATCCAAAGCGAATTCTGCTTTCCTGAATACGTCCCGGGGTTTACTTCATCTACTCAGTGAGGACATCAGGTCTCGTTGGATGCAGCGGGTCCTATGTAGAATGGTCTACCTTTGTAAATCGGGACGGCTTTTCCAGTGATGGACGTCCCCTTGGTCAGCAGTGGAGTCCATGTTCCTCGGCACGCAAATACTGTGGGGTACTGCTACCTTCCGAGCTTGCCACAGTGTGTGCTTTGGAAGCATATGTACGCCAAACGTTACGACGATATGCTCCGCGGTCAGGGACGGTATGGCGTCTTGTCCATAAGGAGACTACTGGGACGTTGCATCGCCCTTGTGGTTGGAGAGTCTCCAGATCATATACGTCAGTGGCGATCGGAGTGAAAACCAGATCAAGTATGAACGATGTCTGGCCCGGGAGCCACCGCGTTGGGATAGCGAAGTGCTGAATTGTATCTCATTCCTGAACAGCATGGAGAACTCCCCTCTCCAAGAAATGCTGTGAAAGGTCGCATTGACAAACCTTTCAGTGGATGCCGGGTGTTTAGCATTCACCCATGAGCAGACGCCATCTGAATCTGCCAATGGTCTGGCGGGAGTCCAGGGGACGACAGCCTGAGCCCGATAGAGGTCCATAAGGAACTCTAATCGTGAGTGTTTGACGACCATCATGGATCCGGTACAGTAACACTGCTGAGGCAGCGTTACTGTGAGAGGACGCTTCAAAGGTGTGTACATTGAGGCAACCTTTCCATTGCAGAATCACGTTCCCACCTGTCCTCCCATCGGTACGAGCAGCGCGTGACCGCTGCTATCCCGGATAGCTGACTTCTTTGTCCACGACCTCAGTGAGCAACCAAGTATCTGCAACCGCTAATAAATACGGATGGTGTTCAGAGATGAAAGTGGAAGCTCCTCAAGTTTGTTCCTGAGTCTTCACACTTCGGCAAGCATGATTGGCGGACTTCTTTTTGAACTAGCGGGCTAGGTAGCAGAAAGATTGGCTGCCAGCGCACTCTCGGTATTCTCATCACTACGCGACACCACAATATGGAAATTCTTCAAGCCAGTGGCCCTAATCGTGAGTAGTTCATTGACACGTTGTATTCGTTTAACTGCAGCTACTGGGCACAGGGTGCTAGCCCACACCGGTATTCCTTCGCAGACAACCATAGTCCTTGAGTTCAAGTGACCTCAGGTCTTCGGAACGACGGGTCCAAGGTTCACTACCATAGAGCACGGTGGGCCTCACTATGGCCCGGTATGCACGGCTTTTCAGACGCAGGGGCACTACCTTCTGTTGACATCGCGGGTCATCTTCGTACAAATTTGGTCGTGCAGCTGCAAAGGTTAGTGAATGGTTAAACCACTTCGTTTTCCTCCGTTAGCCAGTTGCATGGGATCATACGTTGCAGGTGGTCTTGTAGCAGAACCCTGCACTTTGAAGGTGCAAAATCCATGCTAAATAATGGGACCACTATGGGCTCAGCTCAACCACGAAAATTAGATACCCTAGTGTGTTCCAGTGTAGGGCAGATGGGATATCGCTATATTCCGTTGGAACACATTTTCCCACAAGTATTTGGAATATTGTGCATAAATCGACGGGAGGAGCATCCACGCTTGTAAAAAGAAACAAAGATGTTGACCGTCTGCGGTATGCGTGGAGATGCTGTAGCATCTGCTGCATAGTGAATACAGGCTCTATACTTGGACGTCCGGGCCGAAAACATGCTTGATCTTCCATAACCGCGGATTCTCGTTCCACAGTGTGACGAGGACGGCGAATCCACAACAGTCTTTGTAGCGCAACTATCAGTTACGTTAACACCCCTTTGGTTAGAACAGCCTGCAGGACTGTGCTTCTCAACACAGGCTCGTTTTTAACTTCCGCCTAATAACCCCTCTGGTCATATTGTGTTCACAGCCAGCCCGGATGTTCCTGCTAGATTCAAACAGGTTCATTGAGCTCTGCTATATACAATACTCTATGAGAAAGCTAATGCACTGCGTGGCCATTGTATACGACTTGGGCGCTAGCTTCACCAGGACCCAAGCAATGGGATGCCCAGGATCATTTGCTTGCCGCAGCTCCCTATCATCTTTTCGGTGGTCAAGTTAACTCTCAAAAGAGCCGTTATGAACTAACCTTTTGACACTCATATTGTTATTACCGGTATTCAGTATTCATGACAGTAAGGTAGTTGTACAATTGACTGAGCGATGCTTGCGCCTTTTCTATTTCATGCGACCTTATGCGAGTAAGATTGCCAGTAACCTTGAGGCGGCGGTACCTATGATTCGCCGTAGCTTGATGACACATTGCTGTTTCATTGGATTTCCTTCCGCAGCCCTGCATATCAAATAAGATGCATCACGTACAAGTAAGGGAAGGAAACCTTTTACAGTTGAGACCGTTGCGTTCCTGGTTCCCCCAAACGCTCACACCCACTTTGCGCCTAACCTCGTAGACGTCTCATAGTGGTCCATCAACGTTGTTTAAGATTCAGTGCTCGTGGCAGTAGGATGCCAGCGAAAACAACCTACGTTTAGCAGTGCATTTGGTATCATAAAATCCCCAGTGCATTAAAAAAGCAGCATTGAATCCGTTGCATTTCTTCTCATACCTACGACGCATGCAGGTTGACCGCTTACCTATGAAGTCACTCGCCTTCCTAGCAAGTGAGGCACCACCACACTGTAGGTGGACAACAGGTCACTTGGCAGCGGTAAATAAGTTAACGGACAACCAAAATAGGTTCCGCCTAGCCATCGAGATTGCTGTCAAACTAACACGCATTGACCATCGCTGGAAACTCCACAGGTTATCCCTAGTCACGGACCTCAGTGTGGCGTCCCCCTTACCCGTGCTGCGGACTTCGAACTCACTTGTTTCAACTGTGCTGCTTCCGCAGTTTTCAGCGAGATACTAGCGGATAATGACATACGGCATGGAAAGACGCTAAACAGCCTACTCCACGATGCACCCACACTTTGGCTTCATGGCCCGATATTTGTAACTGCACGCGGTTAGCCCAAGCTTTCAGCATGTTGACAATGATGGTTTGCTTACGGCATCGAGGTTCTCAAGTAAGTCACTGCTATTCACCTTCCTTACTCCTGGTTCCGTAGGTCATCAGGATGATATGGCATCGCGTTGCCCGCTTTATCCTGGAATGTCCTGCTGTTGTTGTTAGTCATCTAAATTTCTGGTATCTAATTTTTCCTTGTCTTCTTCTAGTACCATACCGTATCAACGATGTTCAAAGGTGTGTAACCGTACATATAAGCAACATCGTTTTGCTATACTGTATCGTGCATCGTTTTAATGCAGGAACCATGTGAACCTGTTCCGAATAATGTGACGCACCATTTCAAGGAAGCACAAACCAATTCTCATTGTTGTCGCGTTTTTGGTTACGAGTCGTTAAAAAGCACACCCAGGAAGTTAGGTATATTTCTGAGTGGTTTAAACATCTTTACCGACCAGTACATTTACTTTTCATTCTTCCTTCTTACAAAGGTGTCAAGATCCCGTTATCAAGCATTATGTCACCGTGTTTGTATAAGGCAGTGGCACTTGCGTTACATGCCTGCCGGCTTAGCATTCTCAGTTGCTATGTAGGCGCGATCAACCACAACAATCTACCTTGGAGATCTACAGGTTAGTAACTTATGGTGAACACCAGGTTGCTAAAAATCACCATGCTTCGTTCCAACCTACACTGCTCCTGTTTGCCACGGTTATAGATTGCTATGCACAAGACTTTTTACTGCCATGCAAATAAACATACATGGTTCTAGTTACTATAGGTAATATTTCCTTGCAAATATATGTTGGTGACCGTGAAATCCAATAGGTATATATGCATCACGTTGTCAACATCTTGATTCCATATATCAGCCATCATTCCTTGCTAAAGTGTTGCATTCATGTGCGGCCATGGGTAATAGGCACATGCACGCTTACTAAGTGCTCGCTCTTTGTTGGTCTAAAGCGCCTCACACGTTCCCTCAAATGGCGTGCATATTTGGGAATCTGTAGGAAGGTCCGCGTTCCATGCCTTGCCATTTTTCGGTTGCGCATATACAGCGCCAACCGTTGCATGCTGCTGCATGGACCTAATGAATCCAATTGATAACCTTCAAAAACTGGATACCACTAGCCAACCTGAGGTAATTATAATGCAATCCATCCATGTCCATATTTGTTTGTCACCTGCTTCTTCCGTACCTTCAGCCATCCTGAACACATGTTCACCGGATGCGAAATGCAGGAGTCTATGGATTTTCTTCTTGCTTACGCACAGCCCTTCGGCATTGTCCACAGTGCAATGTTTCCATAAACATAGCTTAGCGAGGTGCTCAATCGACACTGTACCACCTGATTAGGAACCGTTTCGTTAAAGGATATAATTACGCCGATTTTACTGCTAGCGAGTGACACAGTGTAATTGAATATCGTATCCATTAATGGAAGCAATGGTCACTCTTCTATTATTCACTCCTATTCCTATTATTCACTTCTATTATTCACCCCTGGAGGGGACGAGGTGCACCGTCCTTGTGGTCGTGCTAGGCTCGAAGAGTGGTTCCATGCGCTTACTGTAGAGCGGATCACGGTCCAGACACCGAATTGTGTGTGTCTGATTCTCCAATTCCATCGTCCTGGTATTTGCCTGTGAAGCAGTGTGCTTCGGCTCCATGAATGAAATGTGCCCCTATCCACATTCCTCCCGGTCTTATTCCTTTGGGTTCACATTAGACATGGGATGTGTGGTTGCAGCTGCGGGTGGTGCAGCCCAACCCCGCATGGTCCCTATGCCAGCACACGCGTCCTGTGGCTGGCCACAGTGACAGACCAATCCGAAACTGGATACAGTCAACTATATATATAGATGTGTGGGGCGTTGTAAACACCGTTATACTAGGCTTATTGTCTGCGCGTACTGCACTTCAGCTTCCATGTGCGTAATTGTACCGAAGTTAACGTCTCCGCTTCTTGGCTTGGGCGCACCAGGGAGAATACGCATGTCGCCAGAGCCTCACAACCTTTCTGTCAGTTACGTAAACAGGCAACCCCCAAAGCTGAGTATGCAGCCCCATCGACCAACGGATGGGTAATTGCGTGCTACGCAACCTACCTCTTGTAACTTGACTTAAGCAGTTGCAGCAAATTTCCAAAGTCGATTATATGACAAAACACAGCAGGATTCAATAGGTGCATTCTTCCTTTGGTCGCTTAATAGCCCCGATCAAAGAATCCGTGATATTAACGCCTTCTAAGACATCTAGCAGACTGCATGTGCAGCACACCTTAACGCTCAGAAGTGCATGTCTTCTTTGACCTGTTATTTTTGCAGCATTCCATCTGCTAAATGTATTAATGGCATCCGCTTCCATATTCCTCCATCTGTCTCTGCCCATCGCTGATGATGACACTTCTGACTAAATTTATGGCTGATATTTTGGTTGCCGCTTAAAACTTAACTAACCAACACCAGTGGCATTGCGTGCTTATAAAAGTACCTGTGTTCGCCAAACTTATTTGAATATGGCCGTTATGATTATACGAGGGTTATTCAATAAATAAGGTGAATTTTCCGGTATAAGTATTTTTTATACAGATAGAAGCTTACTTTTTAGTTTTTCAACTTAGTCTCCTAGCACTTTCACACACGTCTTCTCTGTGCACATGCTTCCGTATTCCCTCAGCGTAAATTGCTTTGGACTGATGTCTCAGCCAGTCGCTCACAACACTTTTGATTTCCTCGTGACTTTCAAACTTCGTGCCTCTCGTGGACGCTTGCAATGAACCAAACAGGTGAAAGTCTGAAGTGGCAAGGTCTGTAAGGGAATGTGGCAGCAGCTCCCAGCCCAGCTGGTTGATGGTGTGCACCGTTCGGGTTGCTGTATGAGGCCTTGCCTTGTCACGATGGAAGACGACTCTTTCTCAATGATGACCCTGGGTTTGTTCTTTATGTCTTTCTTGACCTGCCTCAGCAGTTCACAGCAGGTCACCTTATTTGTCACTGTTCACAGTGCTTTTTTTCTCAAGGACTGAAATGGTGTGTTAGCCTTGCATATCCCAAAAGACGGTGAGCATCACTTTCCTCGTGGACCGCTGGGACTTTAGCTTCTTCACTGGTGAGTCTACGTACTTCCACTCCATGGACTGCCGTTTGGACTCAGGCTCATATTGGCAGGCCCATGTGTGGTCACGTGTGATCACCTTCTTCAGAAACTCATCACCATCCTTCGCATAGCGGCAGAGGCACTGCTGGTGCAACTCGACTCTCCACTGTTTGTGCTCTGCAGTGAGCAGCCTTGGCATCCACCGACAGCTGACCTTCGAGTAGCCAAGGTCATCATGGACAAGATTTTGTGCTGTCACAACAGATAAGCTCAAAGTCCTTGCAGTGTCATCCCCTGTCACCCTTCTGTCCGACTGCATGAGGTCATTGACTGATTCGATCACCTCTGGAGACCTCATTTCCGTAGGCCTCCCAGGCCTGTCTTCATCCTCAACGCTGCTCCGTCCTTTTTTAAACAAATTTGCCCCGTTTCAGACATTTTTTAGCTGAAACATGTGGCACCATGCGCAGTTGACATTCTCCTATGTATTCCAACTAGTTTGCACTCTTCAGCAACCAAAACCTTGATAACTGACCGATGTTCAATTCGGGAGCATGCTGCTTGGTCGGCCATCCTTGTTAATCGCCAAAGCTCGCAAAGGATTTTTTCAATCTGCAAAAGAAATTACATCCATGTGAACAAGAAGTAAAACATCAAAAGTAAACTGGTAAGCTTCTATCTGTATTAAAAGTCCTTATACCGAAAAATTCACCTTGTTTATTGAATGACCCTCGTATTTAATCCATATTACCGCACGTTAGCAGTGTTATCCTTCATGAGCTGTCACTGTTTCTCCAGCCAGTCTGTGGTAATCCATCCATAAGCGTGTGTGTCGCCATATGATCATGCCACTACTACTGGGCCATTATGTTTTACCTAAACGCCTACGGCGTAAGCCTAAGGCGATAAACATTATATAGGCCCTATCAGACAGTACGATAATAAAGACCGGGAACATACACACGCTTATTTTTAACTGGAGACTAACGACTGCTAGCCAAGTAGCTAGTGATTTCCTTGGGCTGCTTTCCATATCATTTCCATTGCAGCTGTATTAAAGAAGCAAACAACATCCATATCGCAGCGTGCATTCCGTCGTATTACGTCAACTGCAACTAATTATATTGCTTCGTGGTCTCACATCTATGTTCTAACGAAGCAAAAGTTGTGCAGGACAGTGGTATCTACATATCGAACATTTACCAGGACGTCCATTCGCTTACATGGAATCCGTCCAGCACAGAAAATACAAATGTTGGTCTATTCTGTGACGACACCGGTGATAAATCAGTGAGCTTTACGTGCACTTGTTAGGCATATCAGCCGTATCCACGTATCACCAGAGGTCAAAGTCCGTTATATAAAATATACAAGTAAACATCTCATCTCACGTTCCGATTCATACCTTTGTCTTCTTATTATGACAAATGCATCAATTACATGATTCAGCGGCTGCGTGCCTGAAATTCATGGCTTATATGGTTCCATAAATACCACACATTATTTATGACAAACACCATTGCCACCATTCATAAATTTTACAAACGCGTTAACGTAAAACATATACTTTTCCACCACTTCGTATATTTATACACGTACATGTATACACCCACATGTATATACAGCCGATTCCGGTTAATCGGACCACATCGGGACCAGACCATTTTGGTCCTATTAAGCGGCTGGTCCTATTAACCGAAGTTACCCGATGTAACAAGATGGGACGTGCTATACATAACATAGGTAACTACTATTATGACCTGTATTGGCGGCATATATTTATAGCAAACACACATAAAAGAACTGCTTTGATAACGAACTTTGTTCACTGGAAAAGTAATTTACAAACAAATTCTTCATAACGACCTACAAGATATTCAGCATGCGAAGTACAGTTTTATACAAAGGGATTACCGAATTCCATTCAGCGTTTGAAGACCGTATCCAGTGTGGTTTGACGCATTCTTTTAACAGACTGCATTCGCACAAAATCACCACAAACGTGTAACGCAGTAATAGGACTACCTTCATTTCCTTCCTGCATGAAATAGCGGTGCAATGTTTCAATGCATTTCCTTGCATCCTGTTTTGTGACTGGCATCAACACGTTAGGGTTCTCTTCGTCACTTCCATGGTCTTCTGTTGCTGTCGTGTGTTTCGCTGCTATTCGAGCAACAACGGTAGCATCGCATCCTTCATTTCCATCATAGAGTTGAAGTTTGTTGTCGATTGACAAAAGTTCTTCGTAATTTTCAACTTGTTTCAGCTCCACATTCTCGCCGTCATTTTCATTTACAATCACCATATCCACATCCATCTCCGAGACAATATGCTTAAAGCCACAGTGAGAAAAACAGTTCCGAATTGTAGCACTGCTCATTTTTCGCCAACTTTCGGCCACGAATGTAACGGCCTGCAAAATGTTGACCTTCGCACTGAGTTCTCTGGCTGTCGAGGATGAGGTCAGCAAGCCTTCCTCAATTGATTTAAGGATGTAATTCACCAACCTTGAACGGTAAAAGGCCTTCGAATTTTTTATGATGCCCATGTCCATTGGCTGTATCAAAGATGTGGTCTTGGGACCCAGAATCTCCATCTGGATATTCTTCAGGAAATCCAAATTTGAATGTGCTGCACAATTGTCGAGAAGTAATAACACTTTTCTCGACTGGCGCTGTAGCTCTGTGTCCCAATATTTCACCCATTCTTTAAAAAGTGTAGAGCTCATCCATGCATTTCTGTTCGCACGATACACAACTGGTAAACTGTCCATTCTGAGTCCCTTAAAACAGCGAGGCTTGGCACATTTTCCTATAACCAGCAACTTCCTCTTGTCTGTTCCGGACATGTTTGAGCAGCACAAGAGATTTATGCGATCCATTGCTTTTTTGCAGCCAGAGAGAGTAACATGTTTGTAACTTAAGGAGCCGTCCGGTGTAGCCCTATAGTATAACCCGGTTTCATCAGCATTATAGATGTCATCGGCTGGAAATTTTTCAAGAAGCTCTGGTAGTTTTGTTGATTTCCATTCTTCAGCTCGAGCGTTATTGGCACTTGCTTTCTCACCATGTGCTTTCTTAAATTTTATATCATGTCTAGATTTCCATCGAGACAACCAGCCGTCCGTAGCTATAAAATCTTCGTGGCCCAGCATTTTAGCGAGTTCTTCTGCTTTGTACTTTAACATTGGGCCACTTACTCGCACCGCTCGTCCAGTAACAAAGGTAAACCAATCATTAAGGGCCTCATCGACGTCTGGATCCTTGCCTTCACGCTTCCGTTTACGGGAAGTACCTCGTCGTCCTTCACATTGTGCCCATTCTTCTCGTAGATCTTTCTCTTATTTTATCAGGCGCGATATTGTAGATTTTGCCAAGCAGGTAATTTCCACCAATCGACGCTGACTAGTGGTTGGTCCCTGTTCCTTGATCTGATCTAGGAAACGAATCTTCTCAGCTAACGTCAAGTCCCTTCGTGGCATTTTCTTAACATGCAACAAGACGCGCACAGTTCACTGAGGTGAACTCGAGTCTGTCTCCCGGGTATTTCCATGGTTGACCTAGCCACATGCTGTCCTATCATTTGCTGGACCTGTGTGTCCGCGAGCACTTGCCGTGCTCGAGAGTAGGCCCGCAATGCGGGCTCGGGGCATTCGGCTCAACCGATCGAGCGGTTAACGACATGTGAACAAGCATGTATGTCTTCGCTCCGCCTACAAGTGTTGGAAACTACAGTCAGTTTCGGGTGTATCTGAAGCCAAGTAGATAGATGTGCCTCAAGATTGCCACAGATCAGTTTATCCAAAGTCCAACTCGGATTACCGTAGCTGAATGATACGCTTTCTTGCCCGACATATGAACTGTGGGTTTAGTCCAGACATCCAGGCCCAGAACTTGATTTTAACACCTCTGTTACCTGCCACCATCCATCGTCTGGTCCGATTAAGCGGAATTCCGGTCCTAATACGCGGCTAAAATTAGGCTAGCGTAATAGGATTCGTTTTGGTTCTTCAGAATTTGGCCCGAATAAGCGGCTGGTCCTATTAACCGGTGGTCCTATTAACCGGAATCGACTGTATATACTTTCTTAGGAAGAAGTCACGTGCTTATGTAAAACAATATGAAAGTACCTACTGGTATATGGTCGTGCCCTGCTGATAATTGACAGAAGGCTAGTGCATGTCTAACGCATAGTACACCGGCACGTTTCTCACCTAGGACATTTCACTTTTTCCTAATCCATTCACGTATTCGTGAAACATCTGCGATTCTATCGATTATGGCTTGCGGCCCTGATCCATAGATATTATAACTCAGTACATGTATATCTATCTGAATTTATTGTAGCGGAGACGGAAGTTCTTAGGCTGCTACGAGGGCTGAACTCTACTCAGGCCTCTGGGCCTAATTTACTCCACCCGAATTTGCTGCATCAGTTGGCTGAGAAACTAAGTGAACCGCCCACTATGGTGTTTCAGAAATCGCTTGCCAGCTCTGCATTAGCTTCTGAATGAAAAGATGTCAGCTGTACCATCTACAAAAATGTGTACAGGAGTCTGCCTGCATATTACAGGCCACTTACCCTCTCGAGTGTAGTAATCAAACTCTTCGAGAAACCGGTAAGTGATTCATTGGAAAGTAATCTGAGTAGATTTACTCTACTTACCTATGTACGACATGGATTCCGGAGGGGTTTTCCGTGTCTGCCGCATCTTCTGGTGGCTCGTGAAAGTTGAGCGAATGCAGTGGATAACGGCGAGACACTGGACGTGCTTCTCTTAGAACTTTCGAAGGCATTTGACAAGGTACATCATTTGAAGCTCACACAGAAGCTGATCTCATACGTTGTATCTGGTCGCTCCCTTCGTTGGGAAACTGCCTACTTGGATGGTAGCGAAGGGGGTGTAAATAAATAAATGAAATCTTTATGCTCGTGCAATGCGATACGCGCTTATGTAGGAATTATCTTGTTAAAGGTACAACTACAACTCGATGATGATATAAAAATGGTGTGAGTTAGCCGTGAACTTGGGAGCTGAAAGTTATTACAGGTATGTGGGAATGCATGGGTCTGTCTAATATACGAGTTTGAATAGGTGCCAATGCGATTGCGGTTGCTCACGTGGATAATATGAGAAGGGTTGAGGGACGTCCGTGGTGGAAGTGTGGTTGCTTGGATAATTATGGGTCCGTGACTTTAGTAAGAAGCAAGTCACATTCTCCTCGTCGCAGTGCCGTTAAACAGACACCTGCGGCTTTTTATAGGAAGAACACTTTCCATGCGAAAACCCTCCAAGTACTAGTGCCCTGTCGCTAACCAATTGGTGCCCAAGGAAGCCATATGTTCGTTGTCGGTTGAGCAGCGTGACATACTTGACAAGCTATAAGCTAGTGATTTTACACTTGACAGGCGGGACCACAGGCAGGAGATTATAGTTTGCTTCAGTAAGTTGTGTTAATCAATTTTTTGAAGGATAATTTGCATGCAGACCACGGTTGATCCAACCCTGTTGTTAAGTGCATCCAGATACAATTGACCATATTTAGTAGATCAGCAATGGGGTGAGTGTGTTGGCGGCCTGATATGATCCTTATTGGTTTTCGTAGGTTCATTTAAACGGGTAAGCCGTTGCGTACCGTTTAGGCATTCTGGCCTCAGTGGCGTAACGCAACGCTCGGTCCTTGGACTGCTGTCGTGCTCTATGAGTGTGAGTGACCTACCGGCGGAGCTTGAGGTGCCATTGTTGCTATTTGCTGATCAGCTGAAACTGTGGAAATTTTTCGATGTTCCTGGGGGTTCCGTTGGTGTTCATTGAGCCTTGGATAAGCTTTAGGATTGGTCTGATTTATGGTTACTTCCCATATATCAAACAAAGTGCTCCGTTCTTTGAATTGGAGGAGGTTGTCCTCCTTTGAGGTACTTAGTCAGTGGTGTCGAGCTCCTACGTGTACCTAGCCAGGTTGCTCTAGGAGCCGTTCACAATTCGACTTTACAAGCCGGTGCTAACTGGAAGGTCGCGAGCAGAGGTTATTACATGTTGTGGATAATACGACCTTCTTCCGGAAACTTGACGGTCGGCAGCCTTACGGGACTGTTCTCGGCTTTCGTTCCCTCTCATCTGGAATACTGCGTCCAGGCTTGTCCACCCTGCCTCGTCCGGGACGGAATGGAGCTAGATTGGTTTTACGGGCTGGTTAGAAGTTAGTTGAGTGATTAACGGCACGTAGATACCCCGAGCGTCTACTTAATTTGTGAATGCATTCAATGCTCTCTCGAAGGCTTAGAAGGGACCTAATACTAACATACCGTATCGTAAGTAGATAAATTTGTCAAGATTTAGCTTGGCTATTCAGCCCCGCTAAAGCGTCTTTTCTGCGCCGTCATTCCTTGAAGCTGGACAAACGCGGCCCAAAAGGATTAGGACGAAAATCCGGCTGTCATGCCGAGTCATTGAGCGTTGAAACATGCTTCCGGAAAGTGTTATCAGTGAACCTACGGTTAAGGGGTTTGAGCGGCAACTTGACGCTCTTGGGTGGCAACAAGAAACCTTTCTCTTTCCTTGACTAACTCGCCTTGTCATACTTCGATTTCCTTTTCTCTAGTTTCCTTCATACCTTAGTTTTATTTTCCTATTTTAAGTTGACCTCTTTACTCTGTACCTTCGATTTCTCTTCATATATTTTGCTTTTTTCACGTGACACGTACAGCAGGTACTGCTAGGGCGGGAAACGTGGGCATTAACTGGTTGGCCAGAGGGGGACACAGGTGTTCCGTTTTAGATCCCTCAAAATCTCTGTGCACTTCATCAATTCCTGTCTCAACGATGCACTGAAGGTGCAACACTCACGGGATTCTCCTATCGCTCCAGGCCCACCCGAACTTCAAATTGAAATTGTATTTGCGCATACGAAGGCGTGCAACTGTTTCCTCTTTTTTACACATTCCAACCACCTACGTACAGCCACAAAGGTTAAACAGTTGCAACTACTCTCGTGCACCGGTACTAATAACAAATAACCAACAGTACATGCGCATATTCAATTCCACCTTCATATACCCACCGGAGCATTGATGTATATAGCTCCTTATTTGCAAACTGGTATAACTTTCTAATAGATTCTTACGTATGCCATCAATGATGCGTATAGTGATGCTTTCGTTATTCCAGTTTGGATTTCACCGAACCGATCAGATTACACTTAATACCAGCTTTCCTTCAAAAGACAATCGGTAAGTTTCACAACCCTTCATTGCATATATCAAGCTTATGCTGATTCCTCCTGCTACGCATGTTGCTTTATAACGGTTCCATTTCATGTCATCCGTTTAGATTAGTTGTGCAAAATTGCGCAATGTGAATTGCTTAACCTTTTACCTCCTACATTGCTAACAGTCTAGTCTTTTTATAAATTATAGTCAAGTTACACACTACAGAATTTAACGCTGCAAAACATTTCGTAAACTACAACCTTACTCAACTTTTTGCATGCTTATTGCGCAATCTTGCATTTGTCATTGTTCCGCCGGCTTATTTTTCTTCATTAGTTCACTGCTTTGTCTCAGCATAATATATAGATAGCATATAAAAGTTTACCGCACTAATAAGTTATGCCATTCAAATTTTCACTCAGAACACCAGTTATTTACCCCATAGCTTGGATGCACGACTTAGCACGAAAGATATTAAATTTAACGGCTACTATACATTCAAACGGTCCCGGCATGTATTGAGTAATCTTCTGTCTGTCAGTAGCGTGAGAATTCCGGTCCAAAAATATACGAGGAAGAATTAATTTCCCTAACATAAAGGTCCGATGTCAATTTTCCGAGAATAAAAATAACATGTTATTTTAAAGCATTCCAATATTGTAACGTGTTCAATATGCATTTAAATAAGAACACGTAATTTAGTGTGTGAAAGCAAATAAGTGCTGCTTTATGGTGGATGAAAAATAAAAATGCGAATACTGTTGATGAATGATCGGCTGCCAAATTAAATATTTGATACCTAAAACGGCAAAGCACTTCATTAACATATGTGCTGCGCTTCCGTAGACAACATTACTAAATTACGGCTGGAAACAGAAATTGAGCCTTATATGCTAACAACACCCGTTTGTTAACAAAGAAATAAACGTTTCTCGGCAACTCGAAGGAAAATTAATGCCGTAGGCTGTTGCGCACGATGTAAATATCAGTTGAATGCGTTTGCTCGCCAATAATTTACAATACCGTTGAACTACAGGCTGGTGAAACATTACCCGCCCATCGAGTTCCAGGCTATTCTAGTTGCACTCTGAAAAGTAAGAGATTTCTGCTTCCTTATAAGTAGCTAGCGCTTTTTACCCCTCTTTTGCTAACTTGCTTTTGCGTACGGCATGCTTAATTTTAGATCGTAACAAACGTAGTCTTAGGTTTTCTTATTGGCAGCATATCATACAAATACGTACGTTTCTCGAAATTCCGTATTCCTGGCAGTTTCTCAATTTTTTACAGTAAGTACAGTACCCATTAAATGCATGTTGTTATAGAAAATTTCCAAGGTTAAGTAGGAAATATTATCGACCCTGCTCATACCACAGCACAAAAGTGCGTATGCTAAAGCACGCAAGTTGGCCGAAGTGAAGCGTGCAGTCAACTCAGATGGACGGCCAACCGGCCATTTGGGGGTTTATTGGTCACACGCAGAGGCAAAAGGTTAATGGGAATAGAAATGGAGTGCTCCGTCTAGATATGCTGTTTGGAACGATTGTCCATAGTTAGCAGCTCCGTTCTTTGTCTAGAAAGCTTACTTTTTAAGCAATTCGTAATTTTCATCAGCGCCGATGACCGTTATTTGTGTCGTGCGATTAAATATAATGGGAAGAAAAACAATGCAATTATAGCTGCTACAGAAAGTATCAACTTGCCGCGGAAAAACCCTCTTCGTCACGGGGAATTGCTAAATAACAGAAGGTTTGAAAATGAAAGCATAGCTATGGTAAATGAGAGAAAGCCAATAGAAAGTCGGGCGATAATTTACGGTGAACATCAAAGCAGAAGAAACCGTTTAGTGAAAAGTGAAGGTATGAAGCTACAGGTCTATTGCACCGTGTCGCGCGGTGCAGCTAATTCGTCTAGGTGGACCCAACAAAGTCGGGTAATGCCGTTTGAGACGTGCGCAGTCAGTAGTGAAGCTGTAGGCGCCACAGCGACAGTAACTTTTAGGTTTTGCTGCAGCGGTGAGTACGTGAAAGTCATTACGTAGTTTTATAAGGAACTGCATCGCGTGAGGTAATTGCTTATAACAAGGTTACTAGTTAACGGGTAGCAGAGGCAAAGTAGGTGACGGAGAGTCAAAAGTAAGCTGAGCACAAAGTTATGAAAGGTTCAGAATCAGCAGATCTAGGTAAGTGGAAACATGCACAAGAGAAGGTCAATAGCAATCTGTGCGGCCATTTGTTGCAAAGATCCTAAGCCGTGAAAGTAAGTAGGTAGAAAGTGAACGGCAAGCATTACATAGCTACTGCGCTGCATGGGGTGTGGCAGGTAGGTCTTTCTGTTGAACCATAAGAAAAGTTCTAACGCCAGTTGCGGATTGAGAGCCAGCTGTGGAGCTCGCCATGCTATTACAGCAGTGTCTCAGAGTTCTTGCTGTGAAGGAGGGTAGGTGGGCGTCAGTACGCAGGTGGATAAGATGCGGCATCATGCAGGGTTAATAAATCGCACAATTTTAGAAGAGAAAGGCAGCAGCGCTATGCTGACAGAAATTCAGCAGAAATTTGTCCAGCCGTTTACGGCTGGGATTATGTACAGTGGCACCAGGTACGTGGGAAGTGAACGTCAGTAGCTATATAGCTAGTGCGCTGAGTTGCAAAGTGTAGGTACGTCGTCAGGTTGAGAAACGAAAGAAACTAACGTCGAACTGATAGTAGCAAGCTCGTAATGTCATTAGACGCTACTTTACGTTAATTTGTCGAGTTTTTCTTAAAGGAGGGTAAGTGGACTTCAGTATCTGAAGTGTTAATGGCGCTGCATCATGTGAGGTTATTGAGTATAACAAGGTTGCGGGTAGAGTGTAGCAGAGACAATTTAAGTTGGGAAAATGCAGTAGCTTGCTGACCGCAAACTTATGGTAACTGCTAAAAATGTAGATGCAGCTAAGTGCAAAGGTAAGGGACGGAAAGATAGTAGCAAGCTTTGCCGTCAGTTAAGGCCAAAATCGGAAACCTTGGAGGCAAGTAAGTAGAAAGTGAAACTCAGAAAAAATACCTACTGCGTTGTGTCGCGCGTAGTAGGTAAGTCGGCTGGGGAACCAAAAGAAGAAAGCTCATACAACTTGGGTGTGAGTACAAGTAGTGAAGCTATGCGCCCCTTACTGCAGAGTGTCAGGCATTCGTGTAGAAGTGGGTAGGTGGGCGGCAGTAACCGGGTTACTGGGGCACTGCATTTCACGACTGGATCAAGCCTAACAAGGTTTGCGAGTTTAGGGTAAAAGTAGCCATTTAAATAATAGAAATCCAGCAGCAAATTGGGCGCTAAGTTGGGTTAAAGATCAGAAGCAATGGAGGCCGATAATCGCACGCGCAATCACCCAAATTGAAGCACGTGCATCGGCTGCCTTCGATTTAGTCGGCGTTCCATACGTTACGGTCCGCTTACCAGTACTGCAATAGCATATAGGCACTGTCTACCCAAGGCACAAGAAAGATTATTAATAGCATATAGTACAAGTTAGTCAATCAAGCAGGGAATTCTCGCACACTGTTTGGGTCATTAATGGCATACTTTTACTTTAGTTTGTTTGTAATGAAATTTTGCAAGAGAAATTGTAATATTAGCTCCCTTAACAAGAAACGCAACATTTAAGCGAGAAGTGCTATCAACCAGGGTGTAGAGAAAAGCATGGAACACTACGTAGAAGGGTCTATGCACTAGCTGTGTGGTTCTAAAGTATACTTAGCTTCGGAACAGTGTACACAGGAAGATGCAGTCTTCGAAAGCCTTGTTGGGCAATCAGCAAACCACTGAATTGCGTCCAAGTTGTAATCCGCAGCATGGACATTAGTGCAATCAGCCGCGTTTCTGCATATGTCAACTCCATTGTTGCAGGTAAAGCCAGGATGCAGCGTAAAGCTACTAATCATGTCGCATACAATAGTTCACAAGGTATGTGTACCATTGCTTCGAACGGCTTACATGCACGTATTACATCAAGTTAGCTAATAACAAGGAATCAAGTGTGCGGTGGCCTCCTGATTGAACGGAGCCGCAAGATATGCAAACTGCTAATCAGGTTACTTGTGAATTTACCAGCCTGGCGTGTTTCTATATGTTTGCAATCATGCAGTGCTTGCTAAACCGCGCACGAGAACACAGCTAACCATTAACGAGCAATGAAGTGCCCGCTACAGCGCACCAGTTTACATGAAACATGAGACCATAGTGTGAGGAAATCAAAAAATATACACCGAAATTTTGAAAGCGGGATTGGTCAGGGTGAAGGGAAGAGAAGAGCGTCTAACTGGCGCCCGTAAGCTTTAACCGCAGGTTCACAGATTACTCTTTCTGGAATCCTTCCCGCGCTCGATAAATACACTTGACAAACGTGTTCCGCCTACATCCAGTGGGAACGCGGCTTTGGGGGCTCCAAGTTTTCCCTAACGAGGCAGCTCCATTTTGGTATGTTTAACATAGCGTTGTTCACAATTTACGCAGTTGCTTCTAGATACCAAGTTCTGTCCTCCTAGTCGTTCTCGTTTTCCTTTCAGGTTTGCTAAGGTTTTCCTCAAAGTGGCGCTTGGCTTGTCGGATACCATGATACGATGTTGTTTGAACAATCTGGCAGACGTTTCAGATACGTTTTTATGTGCGTCAGGACTAAACGTTTCAAAGGTATCGTTAAGAAGGTATCGTAGACCTAGTTATCAGAAAGCCCTTGGAAATTGCCTGAACACTAGCAAAGACCATTACTACATGTTTCATACACGCGCCTGAGCAGAAAATTTTCCTTCCTCAAAGGAAAAGGAATTCACTTTTAAGGAGCGTATCACGCGAATGCACGCTCTTATGGGTCATAGCACGGACAGCACACAAGAACCGCGAATTCAAAAAGCTGGAATGCCTATGTGACCCAGCGTAAAGTTTATGTGAGTTTGATCCACGCGGACCTGATGACGCGTCAACAGGAGTTAATGAAGAGATGCTGCATAAACAGCAAACTTTTACAGACATGTGAATGGCATTCTTTA